CAGACTGACAACTTATGCAATGTTTGGGTTTGACCGACCGGCATATTGAACAGTGGCCCATCAGTGGCATGGAGAGCATTGGGAGGTGCACTGAAATATTCCACATTTAAATACCCACAAGGGCATGGAACTAATTAACAGCATGTAAAAATTAATAAAACCATTAAGTTCGGGATTGATCTTCCAAGAGGAAGTTTTATCCTCTGCAAAAAATAAAAACAAATTTGCAGAAACTCAGTTTTTAAAATTCGGCTAAGACCTTCAGAATACCAAAAATGAGGCGGGTGGGAGGCCATGTTAAAAAAATTGAGACATATATTTGATATGTTCTGTAAATAAGTTGTTTACCTACCGAGAACTCGAAATGTCATATCGATTGGAAAATTTGTCTAGGATCATGAAAACGGGATATTTATATGAGGGGTTAAGTCAAATCTTAGGCCAATTTATAAAATTTTAAAGTGACTGCTTTCGTACTAGTATCAAATAATATAAAATTGAATATTAGAAGGATGTGGAATAATGATGCATTTTGCCGTGGTATTGCATATACTTCTGGGGGCCCATACCAAAAGACGAGTATTATATAGGACAGACCACGTTTTCTACCTGATGTCATCATGGGACATTGTGATACTCTTCTGACTGTGATAAGTGGTTTTAGTAGTTACTAGGCGTAAATTGATAATTTGCTTTCATGTGGACAGTCTGTAATACTTTACCGGCTGTGATAAGTTGCACTATTAGTTAGTGGGGGTGAATTGTCACTTTACACTCAAGTGGGCATTTTCTTAATGTCATGTTATGGGACTTTGGTTGTTGTTTGCATGTGGTCATATTAAACATTTTTCGATATGCATTCCCTCAAAGCCTTCCCTCCATGTGTGAACGTTTTTATTAAAATGTCGATAATAAAATAAGAAATAAATAAACCATTTGATGCTTCAGATAATTTTTTAAATTATAATTCATTTTCTATAAGGTGGAGGGCATATCTGATAGTTTGAAAATAGGTAAATTTATTTAGTCACATAATATTTTTGAGAAGCTATGATGACGATTGGATCTACATCGGAGAATTGATAAACAGTTGATGTTTCTTCAAACAAAGCATGGACACCTGGAAAGGAGATGACACATTGCATTCACATAGTTAATATAAGTCAAATCTACTAGCATCACATTTGAATATAATCCTGCATCGATCTGTTGTGTTTTGTTGGTGACATTATTTAGTCACATAATATTTGAATTATTAACACTCTTTTCATATATTTATTAATTTGAGATACATAATATGATTTATTTATAAATAACATTGAATTAAATAGGAAATATAGACATTGTAATTTATAAGCGGAAGTTGTTTTTAATTAATCGTGAAGGATGACCAACCCACTGTTGTAGTATAAACAATGGCGTAAAAAGTTGTAAAATATTTCTATTTTTATTTTCATTTTAACATGTATAACGAAGCCTTTGTTAAATACATAAAATTATTATGATTTGATATAAATAAATGGACAAGTTTCTAAAGAATAGCATTCTTCCGTTCAAAAGAAAAACAAAAATACTCTTGGATAATTTTTAAGAGCGGAATAAAAATACCTCACAGAACAACGCTATAAATAGGATATTTTGAAAGAAGACTTGAAATGAAAAGCTTTTTCCCGTTCCAAACTATTCAAGTTTCCAAAGAAGAAAGTCTTTTGACCCCACAATCCAAATTCACAGCCACAGCCGGTATATGTCAATGAGTGGAACTATATTGAAAACAAAAATCTCCAAATAATTGTTTAATTATTAAGAAACTGAAATGTCAAATTGCATCCACTTCGATTGAGACCCTTCGAGGAGACCCCAATAAATATATATTTTGAGGTATAACAATCGAAGTGGAAAAAATAATATACACTTCACCTTATGGTTAAGACTACAATACTAAACCTGTATATATACGTTGATACTCTATGGGGAGGTACTAGAAAGAATTGACCGATAGACTCTATCTTTTGGCTGAGGTATTAGAGAGGAACGATAGGCTTCACTTTCTGACCTGATCTAAATGTCCAAAAAAATATATTATGATGCGCATAATTTGGATCAAATCCAATACTCAAAATGCTTCATATGAATTGTACAACTTTATAAAAAGTTAATCCTCTGTGGGGGAGGTACCAGAAAGTGTACACCGACTTGATTTAGATTTGATATGCAAAGATTTGATTTGAAAACAATATGATTTATATGAGAGTTACATGTTTCCTAAATGTTGAATCTTTGTGAAGAGGTACCGGTAGATGCCTATTATATATTTATATTTAAAGTTAGTTTTTATTTGAAATATTGATATTCACAATTGTGAAGATTTTATGGGACACCAAAGGTATTCCGATCGTATGTATCGTAGAACATGATATAAAATAGAAAGGAATATTTAGAATGTAATATGCAAAGTTTGGAAATTGGCTAGGAACAATATCAATTTTGAATCCCCTCTGAGAAAGTTTTTTATCTAGAGAAATGGTATTCTCGATTTGTTTTGCAGATCGTCATGAAATATTTACCACTCATAGTCCTAATACCGCCGATTAAAGCAATATAATCCATAATACACATTTTCTGAGATGTGGGCATCCATATTCTCGCTGAGAACCCTGTATTTCCCCATGTATTTTTGGAAAAGTCCACTCTTCCTTAGGTATGGACTTCTAAAATTAAAACTTAATAGAATAGCTTTGGTGTGTGAAAATACAAGGTTACCAGCGGCCCATATGAAGTATGTATTACCATAAGAAAAAACCATCAAGATTTGCGACCGGGACATAACCTAGACTTAAAACTTGCGGTAATATTGAACATTTTGATGGGTGTGATTTTCTACTCAATGAGAATCCAAAATATAAAATTACAGCTATTATAGGCACTTTCCAAGCTCCCCAAAATACCGAAAATTGGGTGATCAATATTGATTCACATGTTAAGTAGAAACCCGAAAAACCAAATTAGAGTCAATTCGATTAAAAATATCGAATTATGGGAGTTACCATTATATAGGGGCTACCCGGAAACAATGACCAATGTTGATAATTTTTGGTAGGGACATTCTCTACTCAATGAGAAGCATTGTGTAGGCAGATCTGATGGCAAAAGTGTGACCCTTTATGGGGTCTCCGGTGAAGTTTTCGAGATGTTGCAAACGGAATGACAAATTTAATATATAGTCCACCTTATGGTGGAGGGTATAAAAAGTTTACTGACGCTTTTTATAGCCTCCACCATAAGAAAACTAGAAATGGACTTATTGTCAATTAATGGGAAGTATACAGTTCCCAGAAACAAAATGAATATCGATGTCATCAGGATCGAAAGGATTTGTGTTGTATTACTAAATATAATTAATAATAAAAAATATGTGCATTGTTGTAATTTTTTGGGACTCCATACCTCAGGAAGTTTTGATTTCACCCAACAAAGTACCAGAAGGTCTCCCATGACCCGATTTATGGATTTTTTTGAGAAGTATCCTTAAATAAATTTGTGGCATCGGTTACTCGAAAACTTTATGACACTTGGGGTCTAAAACCGATATTTCAGCGAAGGACATTTTTGATCCATACATCAGCTATCCTCATTAATTTTAAGCGTGAGGTTCTAATATAACCCAATATAATTAGTCATAAAATTTTAAAAACGTTTCGCAGGTTTGGCCATAAAACATGACTTGTTCCAAAATCAAATGCATAAAACCTCATGCAAACTATTTCAGGACACACTGTTAACTACTCCAATAAGAAAAAAAAATAGACAATAAGAAAAACAAGTTCCCAATTTTCATGGCTTAGTATGTGTGTGGGTATAATAATGAAAAACCTATAAAACAACAAAAATGTCTACAACAAAAGAAAAAACATCGTTTTTTTCAGTGCAAAAGTGCAATAACTGTTTAAAACGCAACAACAAAAGATATGAAATGTAAAGGCCAAGTTGGTGCATACACTCAGACACACACACACACGGCACAAAATACCCAGGCTATAAATAAATGTAAGGGGTATATACACAACAAATATTGTATATACAGATGTATATAAAAAGAGAATTGAAATCGAAAAAAAACACCAAACAATGCAAAAGAATAGTGCAATGTAAAATATTGAAAAAAGAAACACATGTTATTTTTTGTTATATTCCAAATTTTTATAATTAAACGCATATTTATTAATATGTTTGATAAGCATATAATTATACAAAATAATTAATACCTATGCATTAATATATTATTTCATTCACGTTTTAAAAATGGGGGACTAATTGTAATTAGTATTATAAAGATTATTTGGATGTTTTTTTTTTATAAATTTTTGCAAACCCTTTGTGATTTGATAAATTATTGAAATAAAATTATTATAAATCACAAATGATTTGCATTATAGAGAATACAAATTGTTTTTTTATAACTTATTTTTTTTTAAATAGTAAGTAACAATATAAATTTTTCTTCTAAAAACTACAAAAAAGTAATAGAGAGGGGATTTGTTTTTTTAAGAAGTAATTCTTTTTTTGGTTTATGGTTACAATTAAAGTCTAGCACTGCATGGCAGTGCTAAACCCTAAGTGTAACCAAAATATTTTTTGAAAAAAGTTTACGAGTCTTCTTAACAAAAAATGTTTTTTTTTTTGATTGCAAATGGATTTATAAAAAATCCTTGCCAATTTTAGCTCCTGGCTTTTTTTAAGTTTTTTTTTTTAAATTTAAGGGGGGAATTAAAAACTAACTCTATTCCTTAAATTCGATTTTTTTGTGTATAACTACTTTCTTTCTTTCTTTTCTCCTTCTACCGCTCTGGACAACTTGTTTTCCACCTTCTTCTTCAGTGTATTTTATATTTTATTTCCTTTTTTTCAACTTTTTTTCTTCTTCTTCTCAGTAGTTGCTTTTCTTTGTGTTTAGTGGTTGTTGTTGTTGCTGGTGCTGCATGGAATAAAAATTTTTTGTAATTGCGTCTCAGTTTTTGCCTCCGGCCGTAACGGCTTTCTTATTGTTATTGGTGTTCATAAATTTGGTCAACAACTTTCTGGAATGTCCACTGGGATCGAAATGATTGGTGTTTTCATGGGCCTCGCGCTTGCTACGATTTTTACCGCTGTGACCAGAGAATACATATTTATCCTGGTCATAGTTGTAGTGTTCGTATTCATCGAAATAAGCCTCAGACATGTTGGCGCTGTTGCTGTTGTTTTTCAGTTGGAGAATTTCCGACAAATTCACGAAATTGCACTTTTTCCTTTTGGTTGAGGATTTTTTCCAAAACTTCTTTCTTTTTTCGCAGTAACTTTTTTTCTTTATTCCAATGCGTCAGGAATGCAACAAAAAAACAAGCGAACGAACGGTTTTCTTTGTTGGCAGTTGAGTTTTTTTTTTTTCAAAAAGCGATTTTTTAGACTTCCGTTAAGTCTTTTCAGCACAGTGATTTACTCACAATTAAAATTGACTCATTATTGCCGGGCCTTTTATATACCAATGGCTCCAATGGCGCGAGCGAGCATGAGAGAGGGCATGTAAACAAGAGAGCCCCTTTGCTCTCTATGATTTCATTTCGTATCTCTGTTTTCTTTTTGTTTTGAATTTGTTTACCTCTTCTCCGTCTCCAACCCTGTATTTCATTTATATTATCTTTGTTTTGTCTTTTGTTGTTGTTTTTTTTTAACACTCATAAGATAACCTTACCTATTGGTGGTAGGCAGGCAGTCGGTCCGTCCATTTAACCATTTGTTGGTTATTCGAAAAACAAAATATGATTGATATTCTCCGTTTACGATAACCGATATTTCTTGTTACAGAAATTGCGTTCTAAAATAGAAGTATGGTTTTTTTAAGCGAAAACACATGGTGAAATATTACGACGAAGTTTTGGGTACAGTTGCAGGGCAGAAATAATTAAACCGCATGGAAAAATTTCTTCGGGTGTATTTTTTGGATATTCATTTAATATTAAGCTTAGACTTCAAAGACTTCCTTTTTATGGTAAATATTGAATTTTGAAGGTCTCACAAAGAATAATGCAACCTCCTGGACATCTGTAAGACAGGGTACTTTACTTTTTCTATAAGCAGGAAACATGTCCAGGTATTTTAACAAATCTCTAACATATGATCACTTGATCTACTATAGGAAATCTTCATGTTCTGCCATTACAAAGGGGGTACATTTGACTTCAATGAGAATAAGACCTCTAGGTGACCTCTATGAAAATATGACCTCCTGGACTTCTGTAAGACAGGGAACTTTACTTTTTCTATAAGCAGGAAACATGTCCAGGTATTTTAAAAAATCTCTAACATATTAACACTTGATCTACTATCGGAAATCTTCATGTTCTGCCATTACAAAGCGGGTACATTTGACTTCAATGAGAATAAGACCTCTGGGTGGTCTCTATGAAAATAAGACCTCTATGAGAATAAGACCATTTCTTTATAGTTCGCTCCCTATAAAAAAGCAAACTTTCAGTTTCATTGTAGAAAGAAACAGAACCTTAGATTTTCAGTAGAAAAAGAAACTGGTCTTCAGCTCTTCTATAGCAGAAGCAAACCTCCAGCTCTTCCTTAGGTTAAGGATGTACGGTTATTAGTAACAACCGTCCACTTGGAGACTATTGTCCATTATGATCATCCTGAAAAGAAAATAGGAAAAGAAGAAAGGAGAAAATAGTAGGAGAAGAAGAGCCTAGAGATGGTTATTTTAGCCATGCCAGATTTTTGGCAAAACCTCGTATCTGATTGGGGTCTATTTTTAGAGAAGAAAGCTAGATTAGATCAATTTCATATCTTTCAAACTGTTTATGTCTTCTGCCACTCAGCGATAGACATCTTCAGAGGATATGTTCAATTGTTTCTATATCTTCTTCGTCCTCACATATACGACAGTAATCTTCTCCGCTGGAGTCCCACATTTCGAAGTGAGAGATCTAATCCTGCAGTGACCTCTTATGATCCCCACAATGATCTCTCTCTTATTATTTGCCAACAGCGAAGAAGTTCTTCGGCTAGAGAATTAAGGCCAGATAGCTTTTGAGACTCTGCAACAGGTTCTTTCGACATCTTATGATCCCCACAATGATCTCTCTCTTATAATTTGCCAACAGCGAAGAAGTTCTTCGGCTAGAGAATTCTGCAACCAGGTGCTTTCGACCATCTGTTATCGACTACCTCGCCGTAGAACAAGCGGATTTTGCCAATGAAATAAGGAGTGGTTGCACAGATCTCTTAATCGGAAGATTATGAGCCCCCTCGAGCAAGCTTGTCCGCTATCTCGTTCCCTTCTATGTTACTATGTCCTGGAACCCAACATTAATTAACTATTCGTCGTATATCATGCAGAGCGGACTTGCAATATAAGAACTGCTTTTGAGTTTATAGTGCATGACTTCAAAGCCTTGAGGGCCGACGCCTGACAATCGACATATATAGTCACCGGTCCCGTATTATCGGCAGTAAGTGTTTAACTATCTCGACCGCTTTCGTGATTGCAAGGATTTCGGCTTGAAAAACGCTACAAAGATTGTTAAGTTTATATGAGTTGTATATTTCTAATTGCCTACAGTAAACGCCTGCACCAGTGTCTTCCTCCATCTTTGACCCGTCTGTGAAAAATGACAGACCTGGCCACTAGTCAAGTATTCCCTACTGGGAAACTCTACTCTGATGTCATTACAATCTCTATGAGAGGGAACATAGTCACTAACGTGAGTATTTCTCCTCAAGAAATTACAACCTGGCGTTATGTTGAGGATACTAACGTGACCATAGTTCAGCGATTTCCAGGCATCCGTTTCTCGGTGCCTCAGGGCATTTCCGTCAGCCTGGAATTTAATCAGAATGTCCCGTGGTTGGAGATACAAGATCGCATTCAATGCTGCATGTAGTGTACTTCTTAGCGATCCGGTAGTCAGGATCGAAGCCAATCAATTTACTGAATTTAATTTTGTCAGCAGCTCTTCCGTAACAGATCTTCTATATATATATATATATGTCGATCTTCAGCACTTCTATATATAATAGTATTCGATTGAAAGAATCAGACGTTAACCTCTTGAATAAAAGAAGAAAAACATCAGACCTATATCCTCTAAGAAAATTTCCAGTTTTTTTACTGGGGATACGTAGTCGAGCGCATAAGTCAATTTTTAGAACTTTAAATTTTTGCGCTGACCAAAAAGTCGATTTTTAGACTTTTCAATTTTTATCGTTGACTAAAAAGTAGACTTTTCGATCTTTGATGTCAAATCTGTTCAAAATCGATTTTTGACTTTTATAACCAATGCAAAATCGACTAAAAATTTGATTTTTTTTTTTGTATAAATTGTTGTCAACAGAAAAAAAGGAAGTTCTGGAATTTGTAATTTTTGCCAATTTGGGCTTTCGGATACTAAACCATGTCGATCTTGAAAAGTCGACTTTGCGATTTCCTCAAAGATCAAAAGTTTTCTTCGACTTTTTGACATTCCAATACAAAAAGTCGATTTATTTATCCCTTATCCTTGTTTACTTTGCTTAGCTGGCTTGTGACAGAACATTTGTTCCATAAGACGAGCTTAAAAAAGATTTTCAGGCGCGTTGATCTTGTGCGCAGCTCTTCCAATTTGAAAGATCATATTTCAAAATGTTGTCTTCCACTTGATATTTCCCTGGATTCGTGGACTTCCCCATCCCCATAGCAAAATTTTACTAATCAATTGATGCATGATTGTGATCAGCGTCTGACCACCGGTCTTAATTAGTTCGGCTGGTAATCCATCCGCACCTGCTGCATTTTTATTCTTCAGCGAACCAATTGCTATTCTGACCTCATCTTGGGTAGGTGGTATACAATCTATACGGGCATCTCTAATTGGTTCTGGGGTATCTTTTTCGCCGTTAAACGGCATATACGTTAGTACTTTTCTGGTTAATCTGGTTAAATGTAAACGTACTATTACTATTTGATATCCGAAGCTTTGCAAAATGTTCCTTTTCGGATCATATGATGATCCTTATTTCTTATATTGTCTTCTAAAGCATCACACATCCTTCAACATAGCATCACACATTTTTATTATAAATATTAAAAGTGTTATTTATAGCGGGATTCCCCCATTTCATACTGGTTCTCTGAGACCTTCAGTGCCCCTCTTAGTGTTAAATTCTATCTACAATGCATTCTACTTGAAGCTCAATTTTTACTGCGCATTTTCTGATTTTGTTTCTTCCTCAAAATCCTATTGTGGCGATATATCACATTCTACCTCTCTCTCTATCTTGTTCTCCCGCTTTCTCTGTTCGGGTTTGCTGTGAACACACAACATTTGCAAACAAAACAAAGTATGTATGTACAAGTGTACATACATTGTGTGCCGATTTGCCTGCCTATACTCACGTACAAATGAAATATACAAAATAAAGGCTAAATTGTTCGACAGTCAATTCTGCATATTTGAAATGTTAAAAAAGGCAAGGTATTACTCATAATTATTCACCTAAACAAGGTCCAGATAAGGTAGAAATTTAGAGTTCGTGAAAATATATATTTCCAATATTTTTTCAATAATTTGGACTGAACTGTATTTCTCTCTTAATACAAAAGCTAACCCATAAAATCATTACAAGAATACTTTCATATTTACATACATATGTATATTGTTATATACTATGTAGAGGGTTTTAATTATGAGTACAACAATTAAATTGCAGGGATTTAAGTGTTGATAATAAATTAATCAGATTTGCGTTTTTTTATTGTTGAAATAAAGATATTCGAAGAATCTTTTATATACTGAAGGACATTTGCAAGCGTAAACATGATTATTTAATAAATATTAAACTACTACTGGATTAAAATTTGTATAATATATATATATATATATTTCAATATCTACAACGTGTCCAAGCATAAGGGAAATGTAGAGATTAAACGCCTCTAAATATATTAACCAACTTTAGGGAACAGAAAGACGACCATTGTTTGAGTTTCTAAAGTCAACCAAGTTCTTCGATCGAGTTCGATCTTATACTAATTACACCACTTATATTCTTCTACATAGAATATAATACAATACTGCGTCTCCATAAGTCTTCAGATTTCAAACGCCAGGCTTAATTACTCTATCATAAGGTATTTGTGTGATCTGAAATTTTTTCAATTTCTTTTTTCACCTATCGGTCATTCGAAAGTCCTTTGCTCACTTCCCTTATGTATGTCCTTAGAATT